ATGCACGCCTAGTTCCATTCCATTCTCTCTTGTCTATCCATTATCCATTTCAATATCCTGCCCTTTTCTCCACCGTGGGGCCTAGGGTTTCCCTTCCTTCTTTGTAATTACAGCGTATTTAAGGGTATAATAAAAATTAATTTTTTAATTTAAAAATATACTTAAATTATATTTTTTTTTATCTTTTTAGAAGAATTTTTAAGTTTCAAAACAATCTAAAACCACCAAATTTTTTTTAAGTTGCACCTTAATTCCAAACAAACACTTTTAATAACTATTTATTTTGTATTATGTTAACCTTTGTTTTTTTGCTCGACAATGTAAAATGAAACCATTAGTTTATAAACTATATTTTTTATTCATGGAAATTTGTTTTTATTTATTTTACTTATAAAAATACATTTCAAATTAATTTTAACTAAACATATTTTTCTAAACTACAGCAATAAAAACTACTAAAATGTTAAGTAAATACTCAAAGATCACCGTGGCCAGCTGGGAGCACCGAAATAAAATTGACTGCTACTTCTTTTTTTTTCCCTTAAAAAAATCATAGAATTGACTGCTACGGGAGGCTGCTGGTAACTAAAAATTGCGGGAAAATGGCATCTCGAACCAGCTCGTTGTCGACCGGAAATGAATCATGGTGATCCACGACAGAAAGAGGTTGACATGACACAAGGTAGGCCAATCATTCGCACACACAGCGTCAACATATTTCTGGAGGAAATTGCTCTGAAAATGATGTTTCCTCATCCGTGCTTTGTCTTGCTCGAGTGATGCCATTTTTCCGACGAAGTACGGCAAGGAAAAACTTAACCACATGAAACATGATGTAAGGCTCTGGTTCATGTATGTTGTGTTCGTCATTGTGCTGCATAAGATTCCATCTTATAACCATCAACTTCTCTGCACTTCTTGAAGATTTATACCCACCCAAGTCCCCACCTCCCATAAAAAATAAAATTGTGAATAGTTTAATGTATTATATTTTAAATTTACTTTAATAATAAGTTTGAGTTCTTTTAGGTTTATCAAAAACTTATTGATTATTACTTTTAAAACATTTAAAATTAATTAAAATACATACAAATTAATTTAAAGGCTCATATTAATAAAAAAACATCACACACAATACTAGTATTATGGTAATAAAGAAATAAAAAATATTGTTAAGTTAATTATAATTAAATCCCTATAAATTATCAAAATAAATTAGTTAATCTTTCTAATGTAAAATATTAATTAAATAGTTAAAAAACCAAGTTAATTGCTTATAATTAATTGAATCGAATTGCTTGATGTAAAAATAAATTTTAAAAATATTATTTTAATATATTTTAAAATTAAAAATACTTTAAAAAATAATATATATCATATTTATAGACATCCCTCTAAAAATATAAGGAATATCTATCTAATTAAATGCTTATAAATAACTTTAAATTTGTATGTACCTTGACGAATGCAAAGTCTTGCTTATTTATTTTTATTTTTTTGATTGACTAACAAAGCATATAACATTAATCAGACAAATCAGATACAGGAATCCGCTTGAGGCTAAGGGGGTGACTACAAATCCAATACATTGGGCAAAGAGAGAGCCTAGACGCGCTAGGTCGCCAATTCACAGCTTGATTTGTATTCTTATTCATTCTTAAAAAGAATTATATTTTGTAGTTATTTTTTAAATTATTTTTATTTAAAAATATATT